AGAGCACTAAGGGAGTCTGTGGCTAAGAGAGCTCTCAACAACAAATCTCACAGGTAAAGGAAAAAACTCTTCAAGGTGTAAGTGAAACGCACGTCATTTCAGATAAAGATAATAACTCCTATAAATAAAACAAATGATGACCCTTATCTTGCAGAGTGCTTTCTGCAGTTGGTGTCTGCTCTGCTTTATTTTATAGTGAAATGCAAAATAAATGCATAGGTTTAATTCTATACCCATAACAAGAAATAGCTAAATGAGGTTTATCTGACTAAAAATAGCAACAGGGGAAGAAACACTCTTCTGATGACAATGTTGTATGAGATCATGAAATTGAAGGGGATAATTTTATCACTTTCCAAAGGGGGCACTGATATCCTCTAGGAAGCTTTAATAGTAGTTCTACTAGTAGTGATAAATACTTCAGTCTTCCTGCTTATGCCATTCCTAGTAATTTGCATTGTTTGGAAGAAAAATCTCTTTAACAATCAAAAATTTGATGATATTAAATTACTTCTTTTGAAGTGTTTTATCAAAATTATATATTTTATAAAGCAGAAATTCAAATTTGCTTAGTGATAAAGGTCCAAAATGTGAAGATTGTCTGAAGTCATGGGATATATTCCTCATCTTGAACAGAAACATCCCATAAAAAGGTTAAGAAATTATCTGTGTTAACAAAGAGATTTCCCCATGAGATGGTCCTTGGCTGTAAAACACTCCTGATTACTGACTTCCATTCCAGGTGGAAGGTGTTATTTCTTCACTCAACTTTCGATAACACACATTACAGAGAAAATACAAAATACTTATATTGACTTAGGACTGGCATCATTTTCCACTTGGAGAACCTAAACTAGGAGAAGGGGGGAGATTTTCTCTGACAAATGATAACAGTTACCAAGTAGGTTGCTTGGAAAAATAGCATCAAAATGTGGATAGCTAGAAAAGAGGTAACTATTTATCTAAACATTAGAGTCACAAAAAAATCCCCAAACCAAAACCAAAACCAAAAAAACCTGAAGATATCCCTGACAATCCTTTCCATTTTCTCCTCTGAAATACTGAAGATTACCAATAAAACACTTTTTGGCAACTGATCAGACATAAAGTGGAACGTAATTTGAGGAAAAGAGTACAATTTATTCCAGCAGGATTGCCGTTTCTTTTCTTTCATCTCTTGTATTTTGAAATGGCAATGGATTTCAGATGGCCAACAGGAGTATCCCTGAGACACCCAAAGGCCTTGGGCAGTCAGGAAAACTTCAGTCTAATCAATAGAGTTACATTACTAATCTGGCTTTTACAAAGCTGACAAAGTTAACAGAAGTGCTATATATATATATAAAGAGCAGCACACACTGTTATTTCAGAGTTTTAAGTGTAGGAGATACTTTGTGATAATAGCTAAAGAGAATGCTGCATACCTGCGATATGTCAAAATGACAGAAAATTGGAATGTATTGAAATCTGAAAGGTAGAAGATCTTTGTCTGATTAATAGCAGAGCTGAAGTACTAGTAAATCACATGTAAGCATCCTGGCCTTCCTTCAGCTGTAGCTGTGGCTAGAGAAGCTGCCATCAGCATAGCTGATCACTGTTGCTTTGGAGAAAAATCCTGTCCCTTGAAAAAGCTCCCCTGAACTCCACCACCCACTGTTTCAGCTGTCCCAGTACAACAAAGGATGGCAGAACCACAAAACTGACATCCAAGGAGAAGCAAATTAATCAGCACTCTTCAGAGGCATGTCACTTCCCTGCAGACCCTGTTCTTTCCCATGATTGCTTTGTTATAAGCAGCACTGTAGATAGTCCTCCCAAGCAACCGTGACATACTTATTTCTACTGATATATTTCTTCTTCATATGAGCCAGATAAATCCTTTCACTATCATGTCTGCTGTAAACTATCCTGACCCTGAACCCTTTCTTTATGATTTCTGCCTGCATATAATGAACTTTTAAGCGTACACACACGTATATTTTTACAGTGGATTGTTGGTGACACATTTAATGCATCCTTGATTCATTCCTAGCTCGATTCCTGGCTTTTTGGTACTACGGTTTCTTATGCAGATATCATGCCTGATCTTTGAAAAATGCTGGCTTTAACAAGCCAGCTGCATTCTGTCTATCGTCTCTTTTGTACCCTCTAGCACTGACTCAGCCTTTGGATGCACACTATTGCTTTTTCTACTGGAAAACACCATAGTACGTCACAGCTGATTAGAGCTTTCTAATAGGAAAGTTAGTATTTAGAGGTTTCAGAACAAAATGTCTTGAAATCTGAGTTCTGCCTTACAGACAACATGGCATCCATACATCCATATAGCCAGTGTAAGAAAATAAGCCTGAAATTGAGTCTATAATGTTTTTTTCCCAGTACTGGTCATAGGGAATGAATCAGAGTTTATAATGCAGGACTCAGTGAGAAGAAGTAGGTCCCAACAAAGCTTGTCTTGTAGTTCTGAGGGCAGAGTTATTACAGGGGAGATCCCAGTGAGCTGGATTCAGAGAGCTGCCAGCTGAGATCCCCAAACAAAAGGCAGAGAAAACTCTTCATTTCCCTTCAGCTGTAAGGGCATAGAGGTTCTAAATTTAATTTGTTGGGACAACTGAAGAAGATCGGGGAACCCAAGCCTGAGCTGGGGGTGATGGGAATAAGTTTTTCAAACCAGAAAGCAATGCATTCCCCCAGGAAAAACTGTGAGATCACCATGGTGTGCCTATTCATTCTCCAATGACTTAATCTCTTGGGAAAAATCCAGTTAACAGCCTCTGGTTTACATCTACCCAGACTGTGTGTAGACCTGACTGCTGGCATGAATAGCGTCTGTCACACTCTGATGGGTACGGACAGATTTTCCTAATGTGGAAATCGGAGCGTATAGTGCATACCCACATCTTATCCCATATTGGAGCTTGGGCCTAGAAATTGCAACATGTTCCAAATTCAGATAGCCCTAATGGGGTTTCTGTTATAGCTGAGGAGCAAGCTGAAGAACTCTGTAGTTTTATGAGATGCCCAGACGTGTGGACTGAATCTGCCTGGTCAGCCACAGCCACTCACTTTTTCCAGACAGCTGGAAGTCTTGTTGCCATGACGGCTTGGCTGGTGAGCCCTCTGCTTCAGAGGGGTTTCAGCTATACTTGCAGCTAAGTGCCTATTCTCTAGTGGAAACTAGTGATGGGTATGGCTGTATTGTCTCACAGACTTTGGGATTTCCATTTTTTTTCATCAAACATTTTTTTTTTTAATTTACTCTACAGAAATTATCCAAAAATGTCCTACATATCTTCCTCACCTGTCTCCTCCACTCCCAAACAGTTCAGTAATCAGTAGTTCACATTCAAATCATAGGGTAGCTCCTCCTCTTCTGTTCTCCCAAGAGAGCACCCTTCCCCCCCAAGGGTCTTAATATTTTGAGATGGAAATCTCTTCTGTCAGAGCTGTTCTGCTTGGGGTAAATAATTAAATATCCACTAAAGAATAGAAGTGAACCTGGGTCTCCCTTAGCCCAAGCTTTTTGCTTTACTTGGCACCTGCTCCTTCTCTCTCCAAACAGAAATTCCATCCTGAAGCTGAAAAGTTTTTCCCAACAAAAGCTTCTTTGAAACAGGTATATATTAATGAAAAAGTTTGGGGTTTAAGGATTTTGTTTTTTTTTCATTTAAAAAAAAAGAAAATTCTATTTGGAAAAATTCCCAACCAGCTCTGTGTACAGACTCCCTGCCCTTTGACCCTTTGCTGCACCAGTTTTCCAGAACCCAAGCTGCTAATTTCTAGAAGCTGGTATTTATGTAGCCCAGCAGGAGGTATCTGCAGGAACCAGGGGGTGATCTTTCTGAACCCCCTTCATCACCACGTCATTCAACATGGGGCTGAGAGCACCTTGTCTCTTTCTTTATTATTCCACAGAGCCAGGAATGAGCTTATTCCCAGAGCTGCGGTTTGAGAGGGAAAAAAAGGGAAAAAAATCCCTTATCCTGGATGGAAAGTTGGACAGAAAACATTGTCCTGAAGGTTTTGCTGGGATTTATAAGGGTATTCTGTATCTGTCTCAGTCAAACAGAGATACTGTTTTAACCAACCCTAGATCCTCAGCTGCTATACACTGGCATCACTCCATTAATTTTAATATCAGTCTATCAGTTTACACTAGCTAATCATCCCTTACCAAATGTTTAACAAATGCCTGGAAGCATTGCCCACCCTCCCACACACACAAGTACATCACTCTCTTGATTTTCTCTTTCTAACAAAATCTCAGCTTTTCCTACTGTTGGTCTCTGCATTTACTTCTTTCCCTTGCTAGGTTAAACAATGATGTTTTATTCTTGAAATTCTTTACCATTCATGCTACTTCATTTATTTTTTTTTTTCTATCTGAATCGTTGTTTGTTTCTCTTCACTGATTTTCTAATATTAATTTTAATTTTTTTTCAGTTTCTTTCTTACAGTCTATTACTGTTGGTTTGTTTTTGGTTTTTTTGGTTTGTTTTTTTTTTTTCCCCAATGTCATTCTCATGCTTATAAGCTTTCTCTTTTAGCTGTTTCTTTCCTATCTGCAGGTATGACTGGTAAGTGAAGCATATTTTCCTTTCAAGATGAGGATATTGCAATAAGACTGATTAGAAGCTTTGCACAAAAAGGACAAAATCCATTCATCAGCTTAGGAACTGTGAATTAGTTTTATATGTCACTCTTCCTCTTTATCATATATCTGTACACCTATGTGAACTTGTTCCTCCAAGTATATCTGGTGATTAAACTGAATGCCAGGATGTGACAGGACATTATGTAGGAAAAGCCTATCCTTATTACTCACTTCTCAAGAAACTGGCAAGAAATACAAAGAAAAGTTCTATAGAGTAATGGTCCAGCAAAGAACTGTACTGTATTCCCTGTCTTCTTTGAAATGAATGGATGTTTTGCTACCACGGTCAACAGCATGAGGACTGTAACAACCCTTTCTTCTTCCCCTTACCCACACATGACACTCATGCTCTCACTTAATGCTTTGATGTCTGAGTTCCTAACAGACCTGAAAACAGTTATACTCCCCAAATCCCTATAGTATAGGGAAAGTGCCATTATCCACTTTTTACCCACAATGGTTTTCTTTATGTTGGAGTTGGCTAAATGCACTCTAGTTACTGAGGTCCTGACTCACTCATTATGGGAAATGCAGAAAACATAACTAGAGAGATTTAGTTGTTGCTGGGTTAGGTTGTTGCCTGACTATTTCCTCTGACAATATAGAAAAACTGTGCTGTTGACTGAGGTATCTCACCTGGATAAATTCAAATCTGCTTTGCCCACTGAAGCTACCAGAGAAAGTCTGTGGGTGAGATGGTCCATATTGTCATTGCACAGGAATACAATGATGCTCTCTCTTTAGTCAAATACTTTGACATAAATGTAAAAAACCCCCATCATTCTCTGCTAGAATTATTCTGGAACTCATATGCACATTATCTGACAGTTCAGATGTCCCTGCTCTCTAAGGCTGAGAAAGACTTATCTATATAGCAGAGGAGGACTATAGGCAGAGTAAAACACAGGACTTACCCCTATTGTTCCAAAACTTTCAGGTTTTCTTCTGATTTTTTTCTTGCAGAGATGTCTCCATAACCATTTGATCAGATACCAGAGAGACTTTGGGCTTGGTATGACATTGAAAGGAGTGGGCAGAGTTCCTCCTTCTTCAAAGTAACTCATCCAGAGCTTTGTTCGGGCAAACTTCCATTCAATGTCTGCATGATCCTGCACACGAGAAACACACCACCAGCACAGATGTTGCTGTAATTAAGGAGGTGAAACAAACCTCTACAAAAATCTGAAAATTTTAAACTAGAACAACCTTGAAATACTAATGAATTTTCTTGTTAAAATACTGTCATCTTCTTTTGACAGAATGTCTTTAACACAAAGCAAAGCTAATCTGCTTTATTTCAGTAAAGAGATATTAGATATGTACTGTATATAACCACTTTCAACCATTCTTTCCTTGCTACAGGCAATAATTAGAAGTCTCTCAAAAACCAAAGGATAATTACAAGCAGGAAAATGCTACATTTCTGGAAGAGATTTTTTGTTATAATATCAGCTCATCATTATTCCACATAGATCACTCTAATTACTCTGCTGTACAGCAGCTTCAACAAGTCTCTAAGTCTCATGCACTCTCTTAGTAATTGCCAGCCCCAGAAATTCACAAATAGTTTATCCAACAAATCATGAGGCTACTTAAAACTGTTGAGTCGAGTATCTTTTTTTTGTCGTACTTCAGAATTATATTTTTGGAATAGGTTGGTTTTTTTTTTTTTTAAATTTACTTTTATTTGAAATTTTATTTAATTTGGATTCTATATAATATAGCATAATTTTGAAAAGTTTGAAAAAAATCAAAACTAAAGTCCATGGAAAGATTGCTAAATCCCAGCAGCTGAACAAGAAGTTTGAATCAGTAATATTAGATTTGGACAACAAACATAGTAGCCAAGAACTTCAACACAGATCTAGCCCTAGCATTTAACATTTAGCCAGATATAGAGTAATCAAAACAGTAATTTAGAAGTTCTAGTAGGAAAAGTGTTCTACCTGCAGTCTGAGTTTTCATGAATGGGGTATGTTGTGATATTGTGTATCAGACTTTGCCAACTACTGTTATACAAACAGATGTAGCTAGTATTTCTTTTGTGGGAAAACTTGTAATTTCCAGATTAGAAAAAAGGCATGTTTTAAAATCGTAAGACTGTGAAGCTTTCTTTTATTTGTTTGCTTTCTGCATGATCATATTTGAATTATCATATGATGAATCAGTATTTATTTTCATTAGTCTCCTTAAGAGACAGCTGAGAAATAAAAATAAGCCAATACCTCTGATAAGTATAAAGACAGTTTTCATTAGAGGAGAAAACGGGACACTGCTGAATGAGAAATCATGACCTTTTGTTTTAATTGCTAATGGGTCCAAAATTGTCCATGAAACATGGGTATCCAATTTCTGTTAACTGTATATTTACACTATATAAAAATCCCAAAATAACAGCCTCATAAAGGTTAATAAATACAATGTATTAAAAATAAAGTAGACACAGAACAATCTTTGGCAGAGTCTATTTCTCAGGAGAGTTCCTGCACAGTGCAGCTTGGGCAGGGCTGTAGCCCATGTCACTTTGCCAGAAGCTTCAGGACACCCTTCTCAACCCACGAGCTGGCTTCTGCAGCAGGGCCACCTCTTCCCCATTCAGAGTTGTGGGGAAATTCCCCTCTGCTCAATCCAGCTGGGGTCTGGTTTCTTTTCCTTCCAGAAGAGTGCAAAAGAATTAGAACAAATCAGAGAATTTGTCCCAATATCCTGTCTGTAAAAAAGATTTACTACCAGAAAAATGGGATGTAGGAACAGAGAGAAAATATATATTATAAATTATCTAAGGATAAGGAACAACTTACAGCAATAAGTTGGTAAGAATTATTCATCATGGCTATTAGCATGTTGAGTAGAACAACCAGAGAGATTACATTATAGGTACCAAACATGGTGGCCCCAACAAATTCAGTAAATTCATGCCTTGCATTCACATTGGTCACATAGAGATTGATGAGTCCAAATATAGACCAGAATAATGACTGCAGTGTTTCAAATAATCTGAAAAACAAAATCCAAAAAGAATAGCTGTATAATAACAATGCATGTACTTTTCAGATTGTTCAGTTTTTCCCCAAACATACAAAAGTCTTTGACTTGATTGAGACGAATTATACTTATCACAATATAGGCAACATATATGGAATATCTTTATAGGGAAACAATGGCTTAATATTTCAAATCTGAGCCTCCAGATATACAATACTGAATCTATAAATAAGCCTGTGAGTAAAAGGCTGATTTTGTTCAAACTTCTGAGGGATAAATATAGTTTTAGAGATCTTATTTTGGACACCTGCCTTTGAAGTATTTTGACCCTTTGCCTTGACTGTAGAGGGTAGAACAAGGATCCAAAAGTAACTCAATGATTGTGTTTCACCAAGATGTTAAAACAATTATGGTATCCTCATACCTACTTGGTGTTGTCAGTTTATGCAATTTCCGGTTTGTGTTGAGAGCCATTGAGACAAAAGGAGTTGTATAATTAGAAGGACATTATTATCATTAGCATATGTTTTGTTTTGCAAAGAATGGAGACATCAAAAAGACAAAAATGCCTCTCTCAAATGAAACTGTGCTTTTATAAATAAATGATATTATATTCACTTAGAGAAGTTTGGGACAACAGCTAGGAAGCTAAATAACAATAACCAACTTGAAAAAAATTCTCTGCAACTAGATAACTTGACATAATTTCACTTTTGTACAATGTTCAGCTACACTACAGTGTCACAAGCATGGGCCCTGGTAGCCTACTTGCTGCTGAAAAGTTTGCAGCAAATTTTTCTGCTTATCTGGTCCCATATCTTGAGGTTAATTGGAGTGAGTTTTCCCTGTGGCCTCTCTCCAGCTCCTTCACCCCGACATCAGAAGCAGGTTACCTGAACAGGATGTGTGGGCTGCCAGTGTTGTCCCAAACGCATCTGGGGCAGGGAGGCTGCTGAACTGCAGAGGGGACATGTACCACCCTGGGCGGTCCTACACACTGGGACCCACTGTCCAGAACTGGGCAAAACTTAACCCTTCAGCCCTTTTCCCACTATGCAGTATCATCTCTGAAACGTAACTTTGTCATGCAACCCAGCACAGTGCTGTCCTACAGAGATACCTGAGAGGGCAGTATGCTTTTATTTATAGAAACTCTAGGTCCTGAATCTCTGCTCCTATTATACAGTGTATATGAGTGGTAAAATACTGCTCTGGAGTTTCTTGTATGGTTTACACTTGTCTGAGCAGAAATTGAACAACCACTATCCTCCCCTGCTCACAGTTGCAGAAAAGGCTCATAAGGGCTCACAGTTTGCCTTGACACCATCTTCTGGCACTAGTACCAGTAGTCCCCACTATTTCCCAGTTGAATAATACTGCTTCCGTCAATGTTCAGCTCTGAAAAGTTTCCCTGTGCTTTTCTGTTCAGATCACACAGTGTAGACCTGCATAAGACGTTATTAATATGGAAGACAAATATGCTATGCCTGAGCAAAGTTACTTGATTAAGATGATATAAAAGGTGTTATTTTTATAAAATTATTTACTTTGAGAAGGAAGCCATTGGTAATAAATATATTTTAGAAACCGCCTAGATATGATTCATAGAAGGTAAAGAGAACAGGTATTTACAGCAGGAGTTTGATTCAGATTGGAAGATGAAAGATGAGATAGAGAATTAGTATTCATTTGGTACTGTTTTGGTAATATTGATGAACTACAGAACAGAGTGAAGTAAAATTGATTTTAAGTGAAAGAAAAATAACTAAACTTTAAAACAAATTTGAATACAGTATTTGATTGTGTGGAGTAGAAACCTGCACTGAATGTTTTTTTCTGACTCAGTTTACCACATTTACAAGGAATCTTTGTGTTTTAGAACACCAAAACTTATTTAATGCCCACAAGTAGACACAGAAGAAATGCAGTGACAGCTGCCTGGATAAGCAAGCTCTGATTTGGTGACCTTTTTTCCCGTAATTCTAAATATGTACTTTCTAATCTCACATTATCTCCCCCTTCTGTTTATTTTATCTTTTTATCTTTCAAGATACCTTGAATTGTACAGACTTCACTGTAGTATGGGATGAACATTATTACAGAGTGATGTAATTTTTTTTTTTTTTTTTATTAGGGTAACTTTAGATGTGTCTGCCAGGACACTACTGTAATACCAATAGAAAACAGACAGCCTCTTTCCTGTAAACAACATCTAAGTGATTAAAATATTGGGGGCAGAGGGGGAGGATAGAAAAAGATCAGCCACTTACGTCGAAAATGCATTATTCTGCTTTTCACATCGTATTCCTTTGCAGTTGCCGTGTTCATTTGTCTCATAGTAGAAGTACAGCTGGTTCAATCCATTTGCAAAAGCTAGCAGCACAAGGCAGTATATGAAGAGAAATTTCAAAATGTCCAGCAACATTCTTCCTAGAGATATCTGCAGAGGTCCCAGGTGAGAATTTGCAGTAAATAATGAGATCAAGCGTAGGGAGCTAAAGATGTTTGCAATTGCAAACAGGGCCTCAGCCACCAGGGTTGGATGCCACATGTCCCAGTTCTCCCGTTGAACTAACCCACTATACTGAAAACAAGCAGAAGGGAAGAAATTACTCCTCTATTTTTATGCATAAACAAGTATGTCCATTACTTTATAAGCTGTTCAATTAATTTGCAGATAGCACAATAAAACTAAAAAACATTTGGAAAGCAACATGTCTTCAGTTTTTTTTATTTCAGCAAAACAAAAAATGGGCAGTACTCATGTACTTGTCCTTCATTTTTATCTGCAGGATGGTCTATGCTTCCTAGTTTTTTGCCTGTGCATTACATTTGGTTATAATTTTCACAGTAGCAAAAGCAAGTCTAACAATTCTGACTGAGATTAAAAGGAACAATTTTTGAACACCTGGGTTTTTAAAATTATAGTAACTTTCAACTGTAAAATCAGGTAAATTAGGTCATTGGAGAACAGTGCAGATATGACAACGATGGGTAGAAACCCACAAGAACTTTGACAAGTTGGAAGAAAACATTTAATCAAGGAATAAGTATATCACTTAATCACTAACACTGGACCAATGATGAAAAAGCTGTTTATTAATGAACCAAGAGAAACTGCTTGTGTGTCTCATCATCAAAGAGTCTGATCCCTGGAACTGTAACTCTTTATTGTTCCAGTTCTACCAAAACATTTCTTGAAGATGAAAGATTTTACTTTGAACTGAGGCTTAACTACTATGGCAGACTCATTATTTATTGGGTCTCATTAATCTGCTTTACAGAACACATCAGAGGACAGAATCTATGCTATAAAGCACTCTAAAATGATGGGATAATATAAAATGAAGCAGATTTCAAAGAGGGACTATGGTGCAGTCTGTATTTACCTACCCTAGGCCACCCAGACAGTGGATAAGGAATTGGCTGGATGGTCACATCCAGAGAGTACTGGTCAAGAGCTCTATGTCCAGATGGAGATTAGTGACAAGTGGTGTCCCTCAGGGGTCCATACTGGGATCAGTACTGTTTAATATCTTCATCAATGACACAGGCAGTGGCATCAACTACACCCTCAGCAAGTTTGCAGATGACACCAAGCTGAGTGGTGCAATTGACATGCCTGAGGAATGGGATGCCATCCAGAGGGACCTGGACAAGCTGGAGAGGTGGGCCTATGTGAACCTCATGAGGTTCAACAAGGCCAAGTGCAAGGTCCTGCATCTGGGATGGGGCAACCCCTGGTATCAGTACAGGCTGGGGGATGAAGGGATTGAGAGCAGCCCAGTGGAGAAGGGCTTGGGGGTACTGGTGGATGAAAAGCTGGACATGAGCCAGCAATGTGCACTCGCAGCCCAGAAGGCCAATGATATCCTGGGCTGCATCAAAAGAAGCGTGGCCAGCAGGTCAAGGGAGGTGATTCTGCCTCTCTATTCCACTCTGGTGAGACCTCATCTGGAGTACTGCGTCCAGCTCTGCAGTCTTCAGTACAGGAAAGACATGGACCTGTTGAAGCAGGTCCAGAGGAGGGCCACAAAAATGATCATCAGAGTGCTGGAACACCTCTCCTATGAAGAAAGGCTGAGAGAGTTGGGGTTGGTCAGCCTGGAGAAGAGAAGGCTGTGGGGAGACCTTATTGCAGCCTTTCAGTACTTAAAGGGGGCTTATAGGAAGGATGGGAACAATGTTTTCAGCAACATCTGTTGTGACAGGACAAGCAATAATGGATTTAACCTAAAGAAGAACAGATTTAGACTGGATATAAGGAAGAAATTTTTTACAATGAGGGTGGTCAAGCGCTGGAACAGGTTGCCCAGAGAGGTAGTGGATGCCCCATCCCTGGCAACATTCCAGGTGAGGTTGGATGGGACTCTGAGCAACCTGATCTAGTTGAAGATACCTCCGCCCATTGCGGGGGCGGGGGGCGGGGTTTGGACTAGATGACCTTTAAAGGTCTCTTGCAACCCAAACCATTCTATGTTTATATCATTCTGTGATTCCAATTGTGGATGGGAACTGGGCATTGTTTTGGACAGTGCTAGTTGGCACAGGACCCCACAATTCCAGGGTTGCTCTAAATGACAGTTAGTACAGGTGAGACAGTCCCAGTGACTGACAGCAATCCCTGGCATAGTTTTATTTACTCATATACAAGCAGCCGTAGCATCTGAGAGCCTTGTGGATTTGGGAATGAGAACTGCAAAACTGGTGAATAGTAGTCCAGTGAAGAGTTAAGAGTTACTCAGCCTTACATTTCAACTACCAGTGATATTCATTCTCTACAGAGTAGGGAATTACATCCAGACCCGCTGGAGTCATAGGTCAGTACTCTCTTCATTACAATCATAGAATCATAGAATCATTTAGGCTGGTAAAGATCTTTAAGCTCATCCAGTCCAACCGTTAACCTAACACTACCAAGTCCACCACTAAACCAGTTTTGGGTAGAGTAGTAATTTCATGTTTCCTGGCTTGGTGGCTGGATCATTTATAATGAAAGTAAAAACTAGGAATCATTAAGGTTGGAAAGGACCTCTAAGATTATCAGTCCAATCATCAACCCAACACCACCATGCCCACTAAACCATGTCCCAGAGTACCACATCTACCCGTTTTTTGAACACTTCTAGGGATGGTGACTCCACCACCTCTCTGGGCAGCCTGTTCCAATGCTTGACTACCCTTTCTGTGAAGAAATTTTTCCTAATATCCAATCTAAATCTTCCCTGGCGCAGCTTGAGCTGATTTCCTCTCGTCCTACCACTTGTTACTTGGGAGAAGACTATCCTCTCCCCCAATGATCATGCTATAAAATCAAATCTTACTGCATTTGACACTGTAGCTCCAAGAGAGATGCTATTCTGCATCATCCACTGCTGCCCTTCAGTCCAATTCTGACTGATTAAAGATCGGTGATGAAGTAACAGGCAAATAGAAAACAGAACTGAGTTACCAGAGGCATCAGTTAAAAGATAAAAGCAAGAAGAAAATGAAGAAGAAAAAAATTTCAGTGTTTATTGGGAAAAGAGAGGTGAGAACTCCTCAGCATGTTTTCTATAATGTCTTCCTTTGAATAATATTATATAGTAAATTACTGCAAATTCTGATGGCACTACAACCCTGGTATGTGAAAACTTGCATCTATCAAATAACTAGGAACAATTGGCAGTGCAAGTAAAGATTAGGTGCTGAACAGTGCAGTAGATGCTTAGATTAGGGAAAAGTACACAAGGTATGTTGGGGGAATAAGGTAAAATATATTTATGAAAAAATTTAAAGAATATATTTGAAACTAGGAATAGATGGAGTTTTTGGTAGAGAATCAAAAGCAATCAACTGCAGAAATATTTTAGTTGAAGGTAAGCAGTGGCAGATTCCAAGGAAGTTAAAGAAGCAGGGGGGGAAAAAATCTAAGGAAATACCCTTCTGAGAAAAACATGGAACTACAAGACACTGAATAAGGATAGCGTATGATATAGTAAGAGAGCAAGGATCAAGTTAAACCAATCAGGTGTGGACAGCCACATCTGTGCTCTCTGTCACCCCCTTTTACAGTCAGCAAAGAAAAATGGGCTTTTCTAGAGTAGTAGGAAAACAGATATCCCAAACAAGTCAGATAAGTTGCTCTTTAACTTTCTTTCTTTCTCCTCATTGATTACTGGGGTAGGGGAGAGGCCATCTTATAGCTGTAGTCTGACAGGATGTATCCAATGTCACCTTTTCTAGAAGAGGTAAGGTTAAGAAGGGTGAGGAGAAAGGACTTTATTTCTTGATTGAGACACAAAACTGGTGTGTTAAAACAGTCAGAAAAGATCAAATGACCTCTTATTTGTAAAAGGAAAATCAAAGGCACAAGGGTGTTATTTCAGCTTAACTGACTCTGCCTTTCTTGGGCCCAAGTGCTTCCTGTATGTGTGGATAAAATGCAAATGGTGTCATGGTTGTAAGCAGAGAGTGAGAACTGTTATTTTACTTTTGAAGAGGCATGACTTAAGAGACTGGTAATATTTGGCTAAAAAATAGTGAGAAAAGTGAAGGCATGAGAAGTAGGTTTGGAAATGATCTGTGAAATATACTAGCTGAAAAAAGGCAGCAAATAATATAAAGAAAATCATGAGTAAAAGAGGGCCCTGACAACAAAACCCTATTAATTCCACTAACTAGAGGATGCTGAAAAGAAATCTAGAAATATCAAAGAAGAACCAGGAGAACAAAGAAGCTCACATGTGAAAAGGAAAAGAGACCAGAGGAGCGAAAAGACTCGGCATATTAAAACCAGAAACAGTGAAAATATGAAAAAAAACCCAAAACCCAACCAACTGTACTTTAGGACCAAACAACTCAAAACATGCAGAATTTAAGTATTAAGTATTTGTTAAGTAAGTAAGTTAAGTTAAGTAAGTTGTTAAGTTAAGTAAGTATTTAAGTATTAAGTATTTGTTATCTCACTCATGCTTGTTGATATTTTTCTGTTCTATATAGAATAAATAAATGGTTATTGTTCTAGGGAATGGAAAATGGTAAGAACAAATACAGCAACTCTGAGCTTGTTGTAAATTGTAAAAATGTAAAAATGTTGTAAATCATGATGTTGATACTTTACAGTCTTTCTTTTATTATTTTATTATTTATTATTTTATTATTTTGTGACCCTGCTGAATTTCTGTCCCCACTTCAAATGCAAACAACCTTTTGACATGTAACAAAGCCAATCATCATTTAACATGATTAAATAATACCTATGATTGGCTCACTGGTTGAAGGAAATGTACATGGCACATCAATGGAAAATTAAGAAGAGCAGAAAACAAATTGAGCAGGATATAAACAGCAGAGTTTCAAGGCAAATACATGATGATTGTGCAATGTCACCCAGGAAATAGAAGACAATAATTCTTGATCCTTACTCAAAGGAATTCAAATGCAAATTTAATATCAGAACCATTTGTGAGAAAAAAGCTGAGTGATCACTCTTTTCCCATGAAAACAGAAGTCATGAACTGTAGATCTCATGAAAGCATCAAGAGAGATCCAACAGATATGTAGATCAGGCTACCTGAATATTTAATGGGCTGTTGGACCTTGGTCAAACGTGACCCCTTGTTTCTGATAACAAACAGAAAGGTTAAATATCCATTTCTGGAAAAGAACTTCAAATCCTTTCCTGAAAGTTCATATGTGAATGTGAAGTCTTGCTATTTTCAAATGTATGTCCCAATCTTCACATTCATTATGCTGAATTTCAGAGCAGCAGTAGGAAGAGGGCGGGGGGATGGCCTAGCAAAGAGCTTTAAGACAGTAATTACACTGAGGAATTGAGTCTATAATTTTTCAGGGGGGACAAGGGTTAATACTCCTATGTGAATGGGCAGTTGGTCTGTGAATCTGGTGAAACATCAGTCAAAAACATTTTACAATGCAAACATATAAGATGTTATCTTCTGTAGAACTCATGGCAGAAAAGAAACATAATCTTATTTACTACTGAACAGAGCAGATCTGACACAGTGATCATTAAGCCAGTAAATATTGAGACAAATAATGTATTTTTAGTTACTTTTCAGAGTTCTTTTCTTGAATAGGAATCTGTTTCCCTGCTAGCTTTTCATGTCAGTGGCTGAGACACGTAATCAGTAATATGAATTTTCATGCAATCTCTAGCAGGATTGGAAGCAAGCAGCACTAGGTCGAATGCTCAGGTTTAACAAATATTTAAGATAAAGCAAGCAGGACCTGCACATTACTTGGCACTGTACCTAACATTATGCATCAATACAAAATAATGATCTTCCAAAACCATGAAAGAACCATTTTTCTTAGAGAACAACTATTTATATTTATAACCCTCCACCAGAACAGATGTTATGTTTAAAATCAGTCATCTTGTACTCTCATAAAACACGTGACAATGCACTATTTATAGTCACATTATTTATCATCAAGAGAGCATTTTCAGTGGATATGCTGCGTAATTTAAAAAGACCTCACATGTTGATATACAATCAGAGACAAAAAGCATAGCCCTTTGAAAAATGTGAGATGTAATCATTTTATTTGAATACTGGCAGTGAAACAGATAACTTTGAGTTATCTTAGCAGTTCTTATCCTGAAATTACACTCTTTGGTGTATTTTACACTATCCTATCAGCTGCTGTAAATAATATCCATCTGCTTAACTACTCTATCAGTCAGAGAGCCTTGAATGGGCAATAAACACTACATTCTTCTCCGAGAAGATCTATCGCACAGGAGAGTAGTATGAGGGCACTCTCATAATTTTATTCAAGGGAGTTGGTTAAAATGTTTTCTTAGGTGGCTTGAGCTGATTCATAGAAGGTAGAATACATCTAAGAACTGGGCTTATATATTTGATTCAATAAATACAGAAAAGATGTATTTTAGGAAAACCTGTCTTGCAAGGTTTTGGAAACGAAAATAAAAGCTTTACATCAAAATGTACTGGTTGCATTTGGCATCCTCTCAATCTAATCTGGCATAGAGGTGGAGAACTCTGTGGAAGGTATTTGAAGGAAATGCGGCTGGGTATTAAATTACACTTGTATTACTCTGTTTGTTACATCATTATGTGTTTCAATTGACTACCACAACTGAGGTTCTGTTAAGGAACAAAAAGGCATTTGGGTGCAACATTGCACATGTAGTAAAAAAATAATAGCCGCAGAACCAAATGTAGTGCTTTATGCACTGTGTTGATTATCATTGGCATGCGAGCACTCATTTGGAGAGCAATGGATGCACATTTTCCCAGATACTGTCACCTTGGAATATGATATCCGTAAGCAGAAGCTGTCTGGGAGATGAAAGGATTATAATGTCTTTTAATTAATTTGATTCTAAAGTGAATAATTGGCCATCTCCGATGCTTTGGAAACATGCATTTTCAATGAACTGCTTGCTTTGTTACACGGGACAGTGAAATGACTATTTATTTTCCAGTCACTTTATGACAAAGCATCCTTGTGTGTAAAAAGGCATTTCATCAGCCTTAAACAACAGCTCTCCTCACGCTTTCGAGCATCTTGCTCTTTCAGGCAACAGCTCCAAATTTCTTTGCGTGAGAAGACTTCTGAAGGTTTGCAGCCGGAGAGCCTGAATGCTAGAAACATTTTGTCACAGGAGGATGCTGGTGTGTCAAATGATCACAGGTCTTTGCTCATCCCTGCCCCTGATTGGCTGACATGTGGACCCTTGTGAATAGACACAAGATGATGTAAATTAGAGGCTCCTATGTTCCTTTATATTTATGGCAGGGCGGCAGCGGGAACAGCTGCTCTTTGAGGATAGGGAGGTGTAACCAGCTACTTGACGGTTGTCTCCTCTTCTTCTCCCATCCAAAAGGATCTTGGCAGAGGAGAGACTTTCCTTCCATGCATACAGCATAGCTGGTGGCAGAGAACTTGAAACAGATGAAATAAAATGCTGATCACAGTGGCCAGTAAAAATGGGCTTGTTATCTTTACTTGGATGAGGTAAGAGCTCCATGACAGATGCTAAGAAATGCTTTCATTTCCTTTCAGATGTGGTTTCCTTGCATTTGAGATTATTTTTTTTGAATAAAATATTTCATTTTATGAGGAATTTCTATCATATTATGGATTCATGTTGAATACATACAAAATGCAACATGTTCCATGGCTTCGGAAAGAAGGGCTGTTTTGCTGGAAGATACTTCAAACAGTGGCAATATAAAACTATTCATAAAAAGTCCATGAAAAGGATGAAAAAATTAACATACTCAGCCTCAAGTGACCATATTATCACCTTCAGCTTTACTTTTTCATGTTGCATTTATCATAAATTCTCAAAACAAAATTAAAATCTTGCACTTTAGCTTCCCCCCCCACCCCCCAATTTTGAGTAAATATTTTTCTTGTAGTCATGTCTGGACATTTTGCATGGTGTGTAAAATTGTCCTAGGGGCAATAATTTCTTGCTGAAAAATACGCAAAGACTAACACAAAGCATAATTTTATGCAAACATTAGTAAATATTACCAGTGATTTTCCTTTTCCAAGAAAATGACAGTATGACTGTTCAGGATCAAATAACAAAAGATTGCCTGGGCCAAGAAGAAAAAAAGTATGAATCACAATGTTTTGTTAGCTCTTGTCCTGGTCTAGCTTCTTGTCATAGCTGCAGAAGATTCAATGAGCACATCATACACCTCTTGCATTGCTAAGCCTGAGAACCTCCAAATACAGAAGAAAGTTTGAAGAAGCCTTATTTCTTTTAACTGAAATATTTTGCTGAATTTTTGTTTTAAAAAGTTTACCTTTGAAAACGCAACAATTTTCAAAGAGATTGTTGCTAAGTACAAGGAGTTCATTACAAAATCCATGAGGTTCCACCAATCATGAATGTAGTCCTGTAGTCCACCATCCCACATCTGTTTAATTTCACCCCAGATAAAACCTGTAAACAGAACATAATTCATTAAGCATGAACGTTAAATAAAAAAGGCTGTGACTATTCTAGACACTTATCTCACAATGGATTGATTCTCCTTACATTAATTATAAAGGGAATGTGGACAACTGCTCTAAATTGCACATCTAGTTAGGTGAAATTTTATCTTCCCGTTAATGTTTCCGGAATTAATTTGTCAGGCAAAACCAAAAAAAAAAAAAAATCATCTGCTTGTACAAAGGCAATTTCTTTGCCTTTCTCCAATCTCTTTTTGCATTTTATCCTAATAAGTATAAAAAGGGTCTTAGAAGCAGTCACCACTGCCAACTCTGTCCTTGGTATCTGCTGCAATATCATTCAAACTGGAAAATTTATGACTGCAGGAGTCAATCCAATGCATTCATTTATTTCAATTGGAACCCACACAATAAAGAAGAGAATTTCTATTGTTGTTGTCAATGCTGAACTAAAGTCTCCCTTTTCCATACGAAAAGTGTCTCCAGCAGAGTATTTTTTGTTGATTCCTTTCTTTGGAACGTGAAGGAATGGAAACTGTTTTCAGGTGTGCAGAGCACGCATTGTGCTGGACACAGTGTGATACAGAAATATTCAATCTCAGTGGGAAATTTTGCAAGCTGTCTGACATGCACTTGGTTTAACAGCTCCAGAGACAACTGTGTGGAGACTCTTTAATACTATAAACATTAAAACATCTCTGAAGAATATACTCCACAATATTGTATAATATGGTATGATAAAACAACATGGAACATTTAGATGCATATTTCCTATTATTATCTACAGAGCTTTTTTGATAACAATACCAATAGAGCTTTTAATTTTTCACAGTTAATTATTTTCTTAAAGGAATTTCTTACTTTTGTGCTCCTTAAGGGACAAAATTAACCTCAAGAGAGACCAGTCTCTCACATATAGAAGTGGAGTCAACATGGCTTTTCTCCACCTGCTAATCACATATTCCTTTACAAAATGTTGAACAGATTTTGTGCAGGGGCCTATAGAGTCCTGCATCACTCTAGTCTGGGCTTAATTCACCTTGAACCTTAACATTTTGTCTCAGTGGTCTTCTAGTTGACTGCATGGAAAACTTGTGTCTTCTCTCAAACATGATCCTTAAGAAGTAATTCCTCGTCTATTCTTGTTTGTGCCAGGTAGTTATTTTGAAGGCAGGAGGGGGATAGATGGGAGGAGTACAATTTCATTTTGTAGTGTTTAGGCTTGAGTCTTTCTGTCTCCTGATTGCTTTCAAAGTGAAAGGTTCCCTTCCTCAATATCTTCTCCTCTCAAATCTTATCCACATGTTCCTATCTTTTTTCTCTGTGTCATCATCAGTAATCATGAACCTCAGGAGTATCTGAATAATCTGATTGGTCCAGCAACTTTTATTTTCATATGGTTCATTTTCAGCCATGCCACCATCACTGTTTCAGCATTCTGCAGAGCTGGGGGAACACATCCTGAGAAAGGACCGTGGGGCGAACATGTAGACAGGAAAGTGGGATATGCCCATTTTAGTATCTACAACAGCCTAGAAAGGCTGATTGCAACTCTATCTTTAGGTTATCAGACAAAACTAATACACAAAATATAGCACTGTTAAGAAGCTAACATTTATTTTCAAGCTGCAATCAATTGTGATGAGTCACAATGAGAAAACAGCTGAACATTATTGCATGGTAGGGGTCAATATCCTCTAACAGAGTCCACTGCTGCTGGATAACTGCCCAAGTGCCATCACAAGGGGAAAACACCTTCACAGGGCTACTAGGCAGGCTCCTAAATGCCTGCCCATTTCAGCCTGTGAAATGACTTAACCACTTGCTGTTCAAAGGGCTGGTCACTCCTGACACATAGTGTCAAGATGATGACAGCAGGTCTGGCTCCCCCTTCCCTCTACAGTCCCCTCCAATCTTCAACACACAGTCCATGTACTTGCAAATATCCCTGCTTGCTTTTCCACTACCTTCTAGGCATAACATGTTAAGCATCATCAGGTCATAAAAGCAGCTGTTTTGTGGGCTGCAATATACCCCTCACATTTCAGACACCACTCTGAATCACCCCTGCTCCAACCGCAGAACGGCACATAAAAATAACCATCATGCCACAGGAGCCTGAGGAGACCTGACTCCAGGCTCAGAGGAGACCTGGAGCCAAAGGCTGTGTGTTACAGATATGACCCCTAAGCCTCAGTGTTACAGAACTGTTCGTTAGTCTTTCTTATTTCATAAGACAGATGTAGCCCCAGGATCTTGACACGGGGAAGACTGCTATGGCAGAGAAAGCAGACAGTTGCACTGATAGAAAATACCCAAATAAAAAGGCTTTATGGAAGTCAATACACATTCGTAGAATTAAATAAACTCTTTTGTAATTCATCACAGTTCCACATTCTCTTTAAAATACATTCTCAAAACAGAGCAGAAATAGGTTGGGATTATTAATAAGATGAATGATTAAGTGAGAGGCTGTAGGTTCATTAATGTCTTCTGCCGAGATATTCCATGATTCACAACCAGCCAAAGACATGAACTGACACAAATGCAATAAGGCTGTTCTCTGTAAGACTGTTGCTCAGCATCATGTGCTTTGATAGCACAGTCTAAAATATAATAGAATTACATACAGATTGAAAAAGAAATGCTGACTAATGCTTTCAAGCTTCTTCCAAGCACTTCCTGGGCTTCAGAAAATGAAACGTAATTGAAAAGTTGACACTAGCAGAGAAATACTGACCTATAATGGAATAGTGGAAGAAAGTATATAGCTACTGTAAATCCTAAGGGTGATTGCCAAAATCCACAACTCCAGGGCAATATCACCATGAAAGCTGAGATCAGAGTCTTTGGATGTGCCCGGTCTCTATGGCTAGGTAACCTGAGGGATGCTCAATTAGAGCAATGAATGCTGGAAGAACTGGGATCTCTGGAGTTCTGTACATCCTCCCAAGTGTACTTGAAGGGTTATCCTAGAAAAGTGTGCTCTGAAATCCCAGAACCTTTCTGCAAAGCAGAAGAGTTCTCTAAGGCATGGTGAGCTTACATGATGGAGCTATTCTGAGCAACAAACCTTAGGGATTCCAAGTTGTGCTATTTAGGATTAATTTATGGTCACATAGTCAGACGTCTTGAAATCTTGTTATAGATCATAACTATGTCTTTTTGCAAGAAGGAAGGGTTGGTGGGGAGAAGTCAGTCAGCTCTTCTCTTTACAGGGTCTGATACAAAACACCAATTTTGTTCTGTTATATTCATTGGAGAATCAGGAAAAGGCTAGGAAAACCTATGCATTTTTTTTTAAACAGAAAAAGACATCCAGAGATTAGGGCAGCATTGTCTCTGTGATCTTGCACAGTTCCTTTTTCTATTTAGAATACTGGACACAACCTGACTTTATTATCTAAGGAGACTTTCGGGCAACTCCAAAATATGACTCACTATGATAGAAGAGGAGAAGACATGCAGTGACATGACAGTGCATTGTTAAAGGTAGGAAAGAGACCTAGAGTCCAGGCATTGTCTCCTTATTAATGTGCCAAAGCAACAATGTTATCACACAGTGACAGAGCTCATTACAGAGCTACATGTTCAGCAGCAAGAAAGACCATATCTCAACAAAGCAGAGGGGACATCACCAGCCTTCATACTGGTACTTGGGAAAAATTGTTGAGAGGAACCAGCCAAATACAAGAGGTAGATCTAAAAGCAAAAGCCTTTAGATAGTCAGGCTGGGGACAAGTTCATTGCCCAAAGTCCTCTTTACCTTCCTGGGAGGAAACAAGCATCTCCAAGGCAATAGTCCTGTCATCTGCAGGTGGCTCAATCTCCCTATCAACTGAAAAGGCAGCCATGGAGGATTAGGCCAAATTAAAACAGATGTCTATCTTCCAGGTGCCTGTATTTACCTGAAATAATTCCACCCAGAGCAGATTTCACCGTTTTAGCTGGATAATCTTTGTTATATTCTGGTTGTCTCTTTACTCCAACCGTGCTCTTCCCATCTCTTCACACCAGCTAGATTTCACACCTGCCTCTTATACCCTCACCTCTCTACTTCCCATCAACCTGATTTTATCATTTATTGCCACTTGAAAGGCAATTATCAACATCATGCAGCTCTTCCACCTCATTGATCAAGGATTTAAACTGGAAAGTTGAAGGTGAGGCTTTCAAGCATTTGTTGCATTGTTTATAACTAGATACTGGAACAGTAAAAGAGAAATAACAGCATGGATATTTTGAAACAAGCTGAGATGATATAAACAAATTTCATTTAACACCCTGTGGTTTTAATGGGATCAAACAGACATAAACTCAGGGCAAGAATTCCACAGACCACATGAGGCCCTAGGAATGACAGACACCATGGAGTGGTTTTGTATAGTACTGTGAAGCTGTGCTGATGCAAACTGATCAATGCAGCCATTTGACTGAAGTTGTTTTACTAATGCAAGAAGGGAACTCAAATAGATCAGATAAAATAAATTTAGAGAAAAAAATGGAATCTGTGTGCTAAGTATATTTTCTTTTTGCATTAAGCATTTCTGAACATTGATGAAAAAAGTTCTTTCTTCTAAAATAAACCCTACATATTGTAAAAATAAATTTTATCCAAGCCAACAAAAAGGATAGAAATTAAAATGCTTCTTACTGAAGAACAAAAGGGACTGGAATAAAATAAGAACTTTCTTAGATAAATGTTGTCTTTCATTATAATTACACCAGGAGACCTTAAGAATTGGGTAAATGGATATCAGGTACTACATATGATCAATCTGTAGATTTTTGTATACGTAGATACATCCATACATATAAGACTGATAAGACTAGCTTTTATTTTATATATTTATCTATAGACTTATATTTTGAAGCTATATTTCCAGTCTTGAAATCTTTGGATGTTAGACACTGAAATGCCTTTTTAAAAGTGTGGACCTACTTTTCTGTTCATAAAGTAAGACTCAGTTTGCACACTCACACCCTGCA